AAAACAAAAGTGCTTCTATAAGAAATTCATGAAAGAAACACATTTTTTTGGTATAACATAACCTTAGAGGCATTAATGCTGATACTGTTTCTTAATTTTTTTTAGTTTATAAACCTAAATATAATTGTTAACTAGGTTTATTAACTTTTCAATTAGTTTTTTACCTTTTTTCTTAACTGTTACCTTATTTTTCAACTTAATTTAACCAAACAGTCATATTTTTGGACTGTGGGAGGAAGTCGGAGTACCCGGAGAGAACACACCCATGCACAGGGAGAACAAAGGCCGGGAATCAAACCTAAACCTTCTTGCTGCAAGGCAATAGTGCTACCCACTGCTCCACTGCTTTACCTTTTTGCTTCACTTAATAGCTTATTTTACAGCTAAATTTACAGCAGGTAATATATTATTAAAGGTCTCATCTAATTGTCAAATGCCAAAATAAGATGTAGAGCCATTTAGCAGTATCTTTGCTGAATGGATGGATATAGATCTTGTGCTTCTAGACCTCACTGAGGGACGGGAGACTCTATTTATTCGGGGTATGCAAGAGATCAGAAACGGTAAGTTGCCCTATAAAGGGTAATGACCCTGACTCCATCCCTACCAGCTGTGCAAATTGCATTTGTTGTTGTTGGAAAATAAAAAGCAAAAGATTGTCTACTGATTTTTTTTATTAATAAAAAAAAAAAATCTAGATTATTCCCATTTAACCAATGAAGCTTTTTAATAAGCCCATTTTCTGCACACACTGACTGATATTACAAACCTTTTTTTTTTTTGTCCTGAGTAATAATTTAAACTCTGACTAAAGTTTTGGAAGTTCCACCTGTGGCCTAAATTCAATCTCTCCTGGAAAGTCAAATACTAGGATTTCTTTACATGGTTGTGCTTGAAAGTTTACACACCCTCTCCCACTTTTACACTACACTGGAAAAATCAAAATCTATGTAAGTCGTTTTTTTCTTAAAATAAGTGCATTTGTTCTTGGATTGAGGAGGTAAAGGATACATTTTGCCAATGGAACAAGACAACTTACATTTAAAATAAAAAAACACAATTGCATTGTCTTATTTCAAGTGCATTTTATCTTATTTTCTTGTTTTAAGAGTAAAAATACTCATTCCATTGGCAAACTATCTCATTTACCTACTCAAATTAAGGGTAAATACACTTCATTTAAAACATTTTTACTTATTTCTAGATCATTTTTCCAGTGTACTAATTCACAAAACACACAACTGAAAAATAAGTTATAATAAATAAAAACAAATGTAATGTAAAATATAGATCTATATATATCCAAAATCATGTCATGATTTCCATTTTTGATCATTTTTATTTAGTACTTTTTTCAATTTCAACTTATTTCACTGGCAGCTGATTTCTTTTTTTGTTTGAGGCTACAGAGACTTTTCAGCACAACTATAATAATATCACCCTTAATTCACGCCTACATGCATTTAACCAAAAATAATCGGAGAAATCCAGGCCAAAAACAGCACAAATGATTGTAATAATGATTATAAGTGGGCTGTAATCTGCATGCAGGTTTAGTTTTCAGGGTTTTTCACAGCCTAAATGGAATTTCTTCTTCTCTAGATTAAAATTGTGAAAGTTTTTTAAATCATATTTTAGAGCTCTTAAACTATAAATACTTAAGTCTAGTTTTTCTTATAGGAGCCATTTGGTAGCATCGTTGGACTGCAGCAAGAAGGTTGCGGGTTCGACTCCCAGCCCAGGGTCTTTTTTTGCATGGAGTTTGCACGTTCTCCCTGAACATGCATTGGTTCTCTCCAGGTACTCCGGCTTCCTCCCACAGTCCAAAAACATGACTTTTAGGTTAATTGGCTTCTCTAAAACACACTGCCTCTTGCCCATTGACAGCTGGAGATAGGCACCGGCACCCCTCATGACCCCACTTGGAATTAAGCGTGTTTGAAAATGGATGGTTTGGTTGTGGTATTTGGTTTGGATGTGAATTGTCTCTCTGATCTTTATTTTGCTCTTACACTGGTGTCACTGTGGGAGGAATCTATAGAAGTGTCAAGGTAAGGGCAGTGTGGGAAGGTCATGTTTTTGTTTTTTTTTTACCACTCTGTTATATACTGGTTTGCTTCATTATATCTACATATTGATCAATATTAATAATAAAAATTGATCTCACAACTTTATTGATCTCACATTGGAGAAATTTATTTTCTGCCTTTAACCCATCCCCTTGGAGAGCAGTGGGCTGCCATGGTGGGGCGCCATCGGGGGTTAAGGGTGTTGCTCAGACAGCCAGCATTCAGTATGTGCATAATAAATGGGAGCGTTTCCCAAACTTATCTCCCAGTCTGGTCATTGCCTTTTGAGCTCATTAGGATCTGGATTTTCTGCACCAAGAAGCGACCAAAATTAAGCGCAATTTGATGGTTGCTACAGTACAAATTCAAATTCATTTGCATTGAGCGTGATCCGGACATCAGATTAATCCCCACCAGCATACTTTGTATAGAACTTTCAAAGAAAATTTTTTATATTAATATTTTCATTGAGAAAACACATTACATACAATGATATAATTGTATCAATTTCAATGTAATTTTACACTCTGTTTTTACACTTTTTTCCTTAACAGAAACACAAACAAACAAAAAAACAAACAAACAAAAAAACACAAAAATTGTCGGGGAAGCCTGAGTATCAACAACCAAACTGAATAAAAGCAAGATTTACAAAAATAATCACTCATAACAGGTTTGACATATTCTGTCCACTTTGACCATATCTTGTAGAAAGTGTCCCTCTGCAGTTTTTTTTTTTAAACATATTTTGACTGTAAAGAATAAAAATATTAGAATAAATAACTACTAGTGGAGAAAAAAATGTTTGAACAAGCCAGTACAAATTAAAGCAGCAGACTGACACAAAGTCTTTACTCAACTAAACCATAAGGAACAAAATTTATTGAATATATAGCTGGTTTTTCACACTTTAGTGCACATTATGGCCCCTTGGAGGGCAATAATTTTGCAGGTACAAATCATTTCTTTGTGCGTCCAATTTAACGCTGCATATTTGGAATCATTAAAAATCACACCCTTTGCAAACATTCAGTTAAGATCAGAAAAAGACAGTCTCTCTAATACCTATATCTCTTTCACTACGTTAATCCAGTCCTCAATTGTTGGAGGTTCCAGTTTAAACCATTTTCCTGTGAGGGGCTTTTTGCTCCCTGCCAGCAAAATGTGCAGCAGTTTCTGATCCTTATAGTTCAGTTTTTCGACCGGTATGTTACACAGAAATATGCATTCAAAGGTTAAAGGAAAATTAAAAGCAAAAATGTTCTGTAAATGTTCATGAGTTTGAGATCGATATTGCTGGATGGTTTGACAGCTCAGTAAAAATATGGAAGTGATTGGCACCATCACTGCAACACCTCCAGCAGGTGTCACCATTTCCCTCATATCTTTTTTGATCTGGAGTTATGAAAACTCTTAGGCTTTTCCAGCAAAATTCACCAAACCAGAACTGTCTAAGATTTTAGTCCCTATGTGTGGAAACTGACAGATTGGGGGAGTGTTGGCCTGGTGAGAGCAGTGCACTTGTGCTCTGAGAAGGTTGAAAATACCCGGTTCGATCCCCACAGCCTGGACCCTGGGTCCCTGAGCAAGACCCTTAACCCCACGCTGCTCCCAAGGCGCCGCACAATGGCAACCCACTGCTCCCCAAGGGGATGGGTTAAATGCAGAGGTAATTTTCTCCAATGTGAGATCAATAATGTTCAATTATTATCATTCATGCTCTAAGAACTATAAAGCAATGGGGATTTGTTAGAAACACACGCCACATTTTCTAGATTTCTATTTACAGGTAATGTGATCATTTGCACATTTGTTTCCCCAATCATTGTGCTTTAGATTAGCCCATTGCCTATATTGCTAATGAAACAGTTGTTTATTTGATAAAATGTGAAAAATGTCAAGTATTGTGAACCATTTTTAAAGTCGTAGGGAAATCATATTTAGATGTCAAATCATTCTGGCTTAAACATGTATATAAATGTACTCTTTATCAGATTATATTGTCCCGAAGGTTAAAAAAATATCTATTTAAAAAAAAATCCTGTCTTTAAAATCTGTTTTTTTTTTTTTTTATTATCTTATCTAAATTTGGCCAATCATATATCAACGGTCATCTGTCAATTAAATTTTTTCGGTCATACCATCTTGATTCATATGTCGCAGCTAATATACACAACGGTTGAAATCAGAATAATTTCCTTTCCCATTGAGTTGCGTCCCAGTGTTCACGGGGATGGACGTCTGTGTCTTCGGCAGGTGTAGAGCTAACAGAACTGGCAGCGTTGCGAGGCAAGGGCTCAAACATGTACGGCTGGAAGCCTTCTACACCAAACCAAGCTTCTGCCGCCCTGGCGTCCTCTTCCACAACATCTTCATCACCGCTTTCCTCCTCTGAATAAAAAGTTTATGACGGAGGAGACTCATCCACGACCTCCGACACAAAACTCTCCTCTTGCATGTTTCCTCTGTCCATAGCGTTCCTTGACAGCGTCGTTTCTAAGTCACCAATTTAGTGCTACTTGGTCCCAATGGAATTTCCCATTGGGAACCTACTAGCACTAAGTTGCTAACGGCTTAGCAAGATGCTTCCAAAAAAGCGGCCTTAACCAAACTGTTTGCGAACCTTCTGCCACAACAATCCGCCGCCTTGATAATCGACCAATCACATTCACTTTATTCACTTGTGTAAAGTTGTGCACCAGTCGGGAGAATTCAGAAATGCAAGCATTAGAGCAGCCGCTTCCCTTTAACTTTAAACCGTCGAAAGAGGAAAACCAAAGTAGCCGATGCAGCATGTTTAATTATGATATAAAAATCTGTTCTCAGGAAAATTATTTGTATCAACTCTAGGATTTTACAGTCCTATCCAGAAATGATCCTTTTTAAGTTGAGGGAAACCTGAAATAAAAGTAAAATGACAACAATAAACAATGAATTCAGATTTTTTTTTATTGCAAATTCAATCCTGGGCATTATAGCTCCTGCAGACTGGAGCGGTTCGGATCTGAGTGATTCTGAAAGCCGACATTTCCAAAGGCTCTGAGTGAGTATGTCAAAAAAAGGTTTAACTTCTACAATTCATCATAAAAACAGAATAGAAACGTTTCATTTTATCTTAAGGACAGAAGACGAAGCACTGAATGAGTCTGGAAGCTCATCAGACCTCCGTCCTTTCAGGGTACATCTTCTGGTAGATCTCCACCAATGAATCCAGATCGAACCCAACATTGTAGTTTACGTTTAGAAGCGCCAGGCTTTTAGATGCGGCACTGTCGGCCATATTCTCCGTGTACATCTGGAAACGCTTGAACGCCACGTCGGCGCCATCCTCCATAGCCAACGTGGGCAGGATGCCGATCAGCCTGAGGGCCGTAAAGACGTTGGGGAAGAACTTGACGTCGGCCAGCTGCAGCGTATCGTGGAGGCTGGAGGGAAACGTCTCGCCTTTGGCTTTTTTGCCCCATTTCACCCACCAGCATTTCAGCTCGGCGGAGAGGCTGCCTGCGTTTGGGATGTCGTCGTTGAACAGCTGGAGGTTCTCCTCGTCCGGCTGACCAGACTTGTTCGCCTCTATGATGTCTGGGATCAGAGACAGACACCCTAAAGCCCTGCGGTGGTTCTGACAGAAGAGGTCATTCATTTCGCCGACCACGTGATGGACCGCGGGAACGCACAGGCGCTCCTTGTAGTAAACGTCTGTTTGAACGGTTCCAGCTTCTTCCCGACATTTCCGTAAGAACGACCGTGGAACCTTGACGGGGATCTCCATGGCTGTGGCTAGGTTTACGGCATCGTCGTAGAAAAAGTCGCAATACACGTCAATGTTGTCCTGGACTTCCTTCAGGGACAGCAGCACGGCGTTCAGACTGGCCGCCGCGGCGTGGATGTCTGCCGCTTTCCCTTGGAGGTTTTTCCCAAACGCCTGGATGAGGGCCATGATGTTCTTCAGCACGATTAACGCTATGATGAACTCAAAATCAGTTATTGCTTTGGAGATTTCCAAGGCGCTGTGAGTGACCTGGTCATTCCACCTCATCTCTTCGTTGTCGTGGACGCTGTCCACACAGAGCAGCAGGGCTTCTATGACCTCCAGCGCCACCTCAAAGCCGTCATTCCTTTGGGTCCAGCGGGTCTGGCAGATCTTCTTCAGCTCCTCCGCTTTGTCCTCTCTGTCTGGGTAGAAGATGGAAATGGCGTGCTCAAATTCCACCTGCAGCAGAGGCGACTGAGAGAAGAACGCTTCGATCTTCTTAAAGGTGGACAGGACGAGCTGAACGCCAGAAACGCTCATGCTGTTGGCCAGTGACAGGTTTAAGGGGTGAGCAGACCGAAACGTGAGAACGGCCTTTGGGTATTTCTCAACCAACTTGGAAGCAAAAGCTTTGATTTTTCTAGAATGTGTGCCAGAGCAGGAGTGGGCTTGTGCTCTGCACTGGCTCATATCTAGACCCCACTGCTCGGTCATTTCCTCCAGCAGCTTCTCAGGAAGATCATCCGCGTTTCCTTCGAAGGGCAAGAACCCCACAAACCTCTCCTGGCGGTTTTTAGACTGATCCACGTAACGCAGAAACACCGGGAGGCACCATTCTCCAGAGATCTTCAGCGGCTCGTCTGTGATCAGCGAGAAAAAGCCGTTTTGTTTGACCTCCTCGATCACCTTAGAGCGGACATACTGCTCACAGACCGCAAACAGCGCATCCATCTTCTGTAAAAGGCTGTTCTGCTTCGCAGGATCTATCTTCTTCTTCAGGACTTCGTCTCCCCATCTCAGGCGGTATTCCAGCAACGCCTGGAAGTTGCACATCTTGGAGTCGTCATTGTTCCCATTCGAGGGCGCAGAGGGAGGAATGCTTTGCTCTCCGAGCAGAACAAGGACCTCGAATAAAGTTTTGAGGTACGTTTTCTCGTCATCTTCCTCCGGCACAGCAGGGGCGGTCTCGGTAACCGGCTCTGCTGGGGCTTTTTTAAATCCTGACAAAGAAATCAGGTTAGATGGAGGAAATATAAAAAAAAAGAAGAAATAGAAAAAAAAAACGTTTAACTTCTACTTACTTTTTCTTCCCCTTCTTTCCGTTTCATCATCGTTCGTCTGCAGAAATAATCAAATTAAAAGTTGGATGAGTTGAAAGCCGGATAGGTCCACATTATTTCCAGTTACATTAAATAATGACAAAGCATTCTACACTGGAAAATAGACATATTTTCTTTTTCATCAATTTTCTTAAAATAAGTGAATTTCTTCTTGAAATGATTTAAATGAGACACTTTGCCAATAGAACAAGACAATTTACATTCAAATAACAATACATATAGCATTATTTCATTAGTAAAAGAGATTGATATGGTGTTTTAAATGGCAATATATCAGCATATGAAGATATTTTAATGTATCAATATTTTTTCCCTCGTCTTTAGAAGTTTTTAAGTCTGTAAAAAAGAAGTTTTTGAGGAAGAAGAAGAAGTAGTATTTTTTTTTTTTTTAGACTTTAGAAACTCAGAAGCTGATCAAATATTGGGTTAAATATCGGTGGGGTGGCCGATGTCCGAAATTCAGTTTTAAGGCCGATACAGGCCGATACCCAGTGTTGGGAAAGTTCTCTTTCTACGTGAACTAGTTCAAAGTTCAGTTCACACATTTTAAAATGAACTAGTTCAGTTCATAGTTCACAATTCCAAAAAATGAACTAGTTCATAGTTCTTTTTTTTTTTTTTTCATATATTGCTCAATTACACCATAGCCTACTGTAGAACCAGACAGCAATTATTTTATCAGTTGTAACACTGAAACTGTGCGTCAGATTTCATCTTCATATCCAGTTTTGAATCCTTATCCAACCAGGGTTTACATTAGCATTGAGGGGACAGCATTTCCCCATTGTTGCTTTAATGCTTTGTTGCTGTCCATTCACTTCACACTAGTAGCAGCTGCAGCTTTCACCCCTACAGTATATTCTCAAAAACATCAGGAAAAATGTGCTGCTTGAATGGTCTTTTTTATGAGTAATTATTAAAAGAAAAATAGGAAAGTAGTTTTTAAGGTGCAAATGTTTTTTTTTATTATTTTAATAATTTTTTTCATTTGAAATTCCATTTCAATACATACTAAAAAGGAATCCTGGAAAATGATACCAGGCAGGTTTAACAAACAAGTTACATGGATAGTAAAACCCTCAAGAACAGGGGTCTTCTATGTTTTCCAGACCAAGGACCCCCAAACTGATGGCGAGATGGAGCGGGGACCCCCTAACTATATATATTGTATGAAATTGTGTCCTATAGTCACTCTATTACAGGTGGAGTAATGTAAAGAAATGAATTTCTCCCTGGGATTATTAAAGTTTTTCTGATTCTGATTCCTGGTTGATGGGACAGGTGTTGTGAAGGAAACGGTGCCCAGCTTGAAAGAGCTCCTGTGTGTCTCTGAATGTGAGCATTGATGACTGAAAGACATCTTCTGCCTCCATTTATCTGTTTACTACAGTGTGTTGATTTCATGTTAATGATTATTTAAAGACATTTCAATTAGTGGGGGGAAAAATTGCAGGGGGGGAATATAAAAATATCAACTAACCATGCAGACCCTCATGCAGTACCTCCGTAGACCCCCTAGGGGTCGCGGATCCCCTGTTGAAGACCGCTCAAGAAGATTTTACTAACACAAACTGAGGGACCAGGCTGAGGTAGGAATTTAAGGTTACTGAAGTGCGGATTTTTTTACTGAAAGCCGGCGGGCAAACTTGTTGCCATCATCCTCACCGACCACCTGGTCATAAAACTGTTTTAAGTGATCATACTGCTGCTTTGTCGCCTCCACGGTAGCCTCCATGCTGCTGCAGCTTCAACACTGCATTTTGTTTTGATGACGCACGCGGCTGTAGGCTACGACGCTGGTAGCTGCTGTTGCCAGATTGGGTGTTTTTCCCGCTACATATTAAGGCCTGTTTACGGTGTGATTTAGCCGGGGTTTCGCCTGGAGGACTCTATAGAAATCTGGCAACCTATTAAACGGAGCTGAACTGAGAGAGCGTGCCGTTCACAGACACCAGAATGAACGAGTTCACAATAACGTTCATCAGGCAGTAATGCAGTACGTTCAGTTCACGTTCGCCCAAAATATGAACGAGTTCATGAACTTTCGTTCAATGAACGCGTTCAGGCACAACACTGCCGATACCGATAGGGGGCCGATTATATCGTGCATCCCTAGTATTTTTGTCCAACTTCAATTTACGAAATGCATTTTTCCCCGAATTTAATTTGCAGATATGCTTTATAATTTGCATCTATAATGGAATCACATCCACTCCATAGATCTGCTGGAATTACCCAACAAATCTGCTATTTTCCCTCTTTTAAATTAATCTTCTTCCTCCCTGCACCACTTTAAAAAGGCAATAAGAAACCACACTATTTATTACTTCTTAAACTACATATTTCGGCTACATATAAAAAGAGCTTTACACAGAACCTTATCTGGGCTGAACACTTAATAATGACCTGAACTGTTAAAGGCACACCATGCAACATTTTTCAGTTAATTAATGTGTTCCATAATGTTATGGATGATTAAATGAGTCATTTCAGGTTGAACAAAGGTATTCTCTGGTGGTCTGTGGGGGAAATACTGCACTTGCAATTGCAGGAGCACCGACCCGCACCCACAGGCTCAGAAGTCTCGCGAGAGTCGGTCTTGCTTTACTGCGAGAACTGCTACACGCCCCCAGTTAAAAGCATGCTGGTTGCTAGCACAGTGGCGATCTTTGTGCAGTGCTGCTTTCACATCGGACGCAGCAAAAGCAGCAAAATCGCGTCTGCTGCTTCATTTTTGCTGCTGTACCAGTTAGTTCTGACGCGCGGCTGAAGCAGCTTTGCTGCTCTGGCTGCGCGGTGCAAAAGTGTGTCTGAGGCGCGTTGGGCGGAGCTTCACTATCCTTTCTCTGCCTTGCAGCTATATTTGCTGTGATCAGTGGGAATAAAGTAGTTTTAATATGTTTTTAAGTGAGAAAATACACCTGAAAACGTAATCAGTGCAGTCAGTTCATTCAGATTATTATCCTGCCTTACAATATTTTTTCTGTCGGAGCCGCTCAGACCCCCACATACCAGCGGTGCGCCGACAGAAGGAATCCCTTCATCATCTGGCCTGGTCGCCTCCTCGCGGTTCACCGCGGCAGCTGGTAGGTGTTTTTCATCTAAATAATCCAAACTGCAGGCAGCAGTATAATAAAAGCCAACAGATTTCTGCATTTTAAGTTAATTTAGGCGTCAATAAACTGTTTAAGAGGAGTGATTATAGTGCTCTGATCATCAGTGCTGTGTCTCTCTCCCTGCCAGCTCCCAGATCAGCTTCTCTGATTGGTTGACGCGGCGCGTCGAGCAGCAAAAATTCAATTTTTCCATCTCGAGCAGCAGCGCGTTTGCGGCGCGTCAGATGCTTAGTCATGTCATTCGTTGCGTTCGCCTGTCTGCTAACCTCAAAACAACCGCGCCTGGCTTGACGGAGAAACCAGGAGAACAGCTGTGCATATTTACGACAGTGCACTTTTACTTTCGTCCTCTGGGGGGAGCCTCGCTGGAAAATCAACACCGGTTGCATTGTGTACCTTTAAACATTGACCTTTTGAAAAGTTGTAGATCTAAAGTTTCATTTAGATCTATTTCATCATAGTCGGCTTAAACCAAATCAAACATTATTTCCCAACGATAAAACTGTGGCTAGTAACTTTAGAAACCCAACACAGTGCCCGGTGATACTGCCCTGCTGGGTGCAAACGATCTGGGTGGAAAATGATCTAGAAATAATTAAAAGATTCTTAATTTAAGTGTATTTATCCTTAATTTGAGTAGGTAAATGAGTTTGCCAATGGAATGAGTATTTTTAACTCTTCAAATAAGATAATCCGATAATATGCACTTGAAATAAGACAATTCAATTGTGTTTCCTTACTTTAAATCTAAATTGCCTTGTTCCATTGGCACAATGTCTCTTTTATCTCCTCAATCCAAGAACAAATGCACATATTTAAAAAAAAAATGATTATCTAGATTTAGATTTTTTCCAGTGTGGCTTTCTGATTCATGGCGCCCTCTTGGCTTATTATATATTGTCTCCTTGAACCCCAGTCGGCCTCAGCAGATGGCCGCTCACACTGAGCCTGGTTCTGCTGGAGGTTTCTTCCTGTTAATAGGGAGTTTTTCCTCTCCACTGTCGCTACAAGCGTGCTCAGTGTGAGGGATTGCATTCGAATCAATGAGTCGATGCAATCAACTGGTTTTCCTTAGATAGAAAACTTTGAATCAATCTGACTGGATGATCTGGTGAACTGGAAAGTGCCTTGAGATGACATGTGTTGTGAATTTGGCGCTATAGAAATAAACTGAATTGATTGAATATCTGCGTTAACTGCGACACATGCAGACGACCTGGTTTCTGAGCATAAACCAGCCTTAATGCTAGTGGAGATGTTCCGAATGGTTAAAGTAGAATGAAAGGACCTGCACTCTGTCACATCTAGGTCTTTATTATTAAAACAATGTTTTAAATAAATCACTATGGATTCATTAAATTCTGTCTTTACTTCTCTGCACCATCAGATATTTCCTTTTATACCAATCCTTTCTGAAAATGGTTAAAGAGGGAGATCAACAGGCACAGAGTTAAAGGATGTTTCCCTGAAATCTAGTCCAGTCACATAAAGTCTGGTTAGAAGGAGTCTGATAATCTTCAGGAGGCGGGACACTGATCACATTAAACAGGATGCGGCCTGCTTACCGCCGCTTTGCCAGTCTGAGGCTGGGCTGGAACGTCAAAAACCGATGGGATGGCATCAGGTTTCAACACAGAACCAGGAGCGTCCTGAAACAAAGGCAGACAGATGGCATTCTGAGCTTTTCTTTGGGACTTTAACATCATACAGATTAACAAAGCTCTACATGATTCAGCCATCTTTGAATTACGTCAAAGATCCATTATCCTACAGGCAGGTGTGGACAAAAAGTTAAAAAACAGAAGGTTAGACATTTAATCACTAAATGATCAAATAAAGTAAAAAGATTCTAAATAAAACAACTAATTACACTGACAACACTGAACGACTAATATGGAGAGAAAGTTAATGTTGTAGAGGATGAGGAACAGTGCGATATGTTTAAAGGGACAGAAAGAGACTGAACAAACTGAGGGAGAAAGGCCGCTGTTCTGTCAGATGAGCATACCTCATCAGACCAGCATACCCATAGTCAAACCTATGCGCAAGACGTCAGATTTGCATTTATTCCTTTAGTTTTGTACTTTAAACTACCTCAATGGACACGAATCCCTTTAGACATAAAAAAATAAAATAAAAAAGATAACAATTTAGGGTCAGATCGCCATATGCTTCAAAAAACACCAAAAAGTAAATCATTACATTGTTTTTTTGCACATGACTAAAGTTTATAGTTTATTTTCCGTGCAAAACTAAAGGGAAAAACTAAATCAGAGGTCACAGATTATCAGACCGCGGTATGGATCTGGACCCAACCTGATTTAAAACATTTATAAATTACCGCATCTTGTCCGACAGCAGTGTCTAACTTCTCCTGTTAATACGGTAAAGCCCCCTTGAGCGTCCGGGACCAGGCTGCATGTGATCCCAATGAGCCAATGAGCTGCTGTCAGTCTGGGTTGCTGCTGCTTGCTACTTTTAGACACAGCAGGCAAACCTGTGGCAAGCCGGGCGATGGGAAAGAAGGAGAAGATGATGAGAAAAAGAGAGCAGAGAAAGTGTGGACTGCTGGAAGAACTGTGGTGAACTGGTGAAAGAAAAGTGAAATGGCGTGCTCAAAGATGACCCTGCACATTTAGAGGATGTTTGGCTCAACCTGCTGCTGTGAAGCAGGATTCTCCACCATGAACAGAATCAAAAATAAATACACTATATTGCCAAAAGTATTTGCTCACCTGCCTTGACTCACATATGAGCTTAAGTGACATCCCGTTCCTAATCCATAGGGTTCAATATGACGTCGGTCCACCCTTTGCAGCTAGAACAGCTTCAACTCTTCTGGGAAGGCTGTCCACAAGGTTTAGGAGTGTGTTTATGGGAATTTTTGACCATTCTTCCAGAAGCGCATTTGTGAGGTCGCACACTGATGTTGGACGAGAAGGCCTGGCTCTCAGTCTCCGCTCTAATTCATCCCAAAGGTGTTCTATCGGGTTGAGGTCAGGACTCTGTGCAGGCCAGTCAAGTTCATCCACACCAGACTCTGTCATCCATGTCTTTATGGACCTTGCTTTGTGCACTGGTGCACAGTCATGTTGGAAGAGGAAGGGGCCAGCTCCAAACTGTTCCCACAAAGTTGGGAGCATGGAATTGTCCAAAATGTCTTGGTATGCTGAAGCATTCAGAGTTCCTTTCACTGGAACTAAGGGGCCAAGCCCAGCTCCTGAAAAACAACCTCACACCATAATCCCCCCTCCACCAAACTTTACACTTGGCACAATGCAGTCAGACAAGTACCGTTCTCCTGGCAACCGCCAAACCCAGACCCGTCCATCAGATTGCCAGATGGAGAAGCGCGATTCGTCACTCCAGAGAACGCGTCTCCACTGCTCTAGAGTCCAGTGGCGGCGTGCTTTACACCACCGCATCCGACGCTTTGCATTGCACTTGGTGATGTATGGCTTGGATGCAGCTGCTCGACCATGGAAACCCATTCCATGAAGCTCTCTGCGCACTGTTCTTGAGCTAATCTGAAGGCCACATGAAGTTTGGAGGTCTGTAGTGATTGACTCTGCAGAAAGTTGGCGACCTCTTCGCACTATGCGCGTCAGCATCCGCTGACCCCGCTCCGTCAGTTTACGTGGCCTACCTCTTCGTGGCTGAGTTGCTGTCGTTCCCAAACACTTCCATTTTCTTATAATACAGCTGACAGTTGACTGTGGAATATTTAGGAGCGAGGAAATTTCACGACTGGATTTGTTGCACAGGTGGCATCCTATCACAGTTCCACGCTGGAATTCACTGAGCTCCTGAGAGCGACCCATTCTTTCACAAATGTTTGTAAAAACAGTCTGCATGCCTAGGTGCTTGAATTTATACACCTGTGGCCATGGAAGTGATTGGAACACCTGATTCCAATAATTTGGATGGGTGAGCAAATACTTTTGGCAATATAGTGTATGAATCCAGGTTCAAAATGAGCTTCTTCATATGTGCTTTAGAATGGCTTAGTCTCCATTAAACCCAGGTTTAAAGCCTTGCAGGGCAGCATAAAGCCCACTGCGAACATTAAGACAGAAAAAATAGAAAAAGAAAACAAAGACTAATGCTCACTTGAGGTGTTTTACAAAATATGTGAATCAGGTAATTGTCTGCATGCCACACTGAAAGATTTTTGTTCTCTACTTCAAAAAACACTTTAGATTTTAAAATGGAAATTTGTTTTTTTTTTTATCTTTTTTTGTTCAAAAATTCAATGTATAACATGGATGCATAAACACCAAATTTTATTGCAGTGTTAAAGTCTGTTTAACGTAACAGATTATAATCAAAAATGTTTTTGAACCTTTACTGGTTGATGATTTTCTTTATTCAGACCCCGCTGATTTTAATTGGTTACCCTGCACTAAAGGGAAAAACAGGTATTGACTATGGGTATGCTCATCTGACAGAACACCGTCTCTGTCCTAGGCTGCACCGCGGACAGGAAGTGGCTGAGAGGAGGGTGGTGTCCAAGCTTCCATCCATCCTGGATAACAGCTTCCACCCTCTGCACCAGACTGTAGAGGAGCTGATCAGCTCCTTTAGTTAAAGACTTTTACACCCTGTTTATAAAAAGGAGCGCCACAGCAGGTCATTCATCCCTGCTGCAACCAGACTCTACAATGCGACACTAAAACAGCAATAACGTGCAATGTATAATGTGCAATTCACAATTTTATACCCTATGCAATAACCTGCTTCTCTATATTTGACACGCAGTGTAATAACTGTATATAAATATAAATATCCATCCATATAAATACCCGTGTAAACACCCTGTGCAATACCTGTTTCTCTATATTAAAGTCAATTAATCAATAACAAAACGGTGGACAGAATCACTGAGGATCAAACCAGCATGTTCATCATCCAGACTCACAGTATTAAAGGCAGATGCTTCAAAGTGTTTCCCACAAAGTCTGTAGTATCTGAAGAGCTGCTGGGCTGGTTTGTCCTTCAGGTCGGTCCTCTGGCACTGTTCCACCCACTTCTGGGATCTGTGAAGGAAAACATCTTTACAATCACCTTCCTATAGGGATGCTTTACAAAACACAACAAGTAACTTCCTCATTTTACAGTTTAAACTGCATAAACAACAAATCATTATAAGTTTATGACAGAAATCTGTAGCAACCTTCAGATGTACCTGGAGCTGACAGGACCCTGGGTCATCATGATGGTCTAACAGGTTAGTGTTCAGCTCATATGTATTAATGATGTAATGAAGGTGCAGCAAACACTGCATCTACAGGAAGCTACACGTTTGCTTCACCATTACTTACCTGTTTGGATCTCGTGGAAACCGGAAGAGCGCCTGAAAGTCGGAGGTGCCGCTGGGGCAGCCCTGCACCACGCAACCATGCTGCATCACGACTCTGAGGGAATAAAAATGCGTTTTTCTGAGCAGCGCTTCGGAAGAAAGGAACAGATGCTAACGTTAGCTGCTAAGCTAGGCGGCCCACTGATCTCTTTATTCAATGGATTGCTGATTGGCTGCTGGTAGTAGACGGTGCTGTGAAGCCACCGGCCGCCATATTGGTACTCCCTAGTCAGACCGGTCTGAATGTGAACTATGTGCGCTACAGCATCTCATTTTCAGGGGGGCTTAAGACTTTTAAAATAAAGATAACTTTGTCACACACTTTCTATTTCATAGCATCAGTAGATTACTGTAATTTAATGGGGGAAAAAATAGGCACATCACATTTTATGTTAAGTATGAAGTCTATAAATCATGTAATATAACATATTTTAACAATCTATCACAATAACATTAGTTTGTTAATGCAGCATAAGAATGTTGTACTTAGATATTAACAGTATTACACACACACACACTATCTAATGATGCGAGAAAAGTGATACATTCTGTGCATGTAATATACAAATGTTTATTCCATTGTTATGGCAATTATATATTACATATAATTGGAAGATACATATATATATATATATATATATATATATATATATATATATATATATATATATATATGATACACACTCGTTGGCATGTTTATGGCGCGACTCCGTAAGAGAGTACAAAGATGGCGGCAAGTGGCTTCAGTTTTTTCGGTCTATCGGATATCCAATACAAATCAGTGGGTGGAGCTAGAACTGCACTTCCGATTTTCAGCTTCGAAATAAGAGCCCCTGAAAAACGCATTTTTTGAATCCAATGTAGTTCAATGTAGTTGCTTTTAGAAATACAGTATTCTAGTTGAATTCAATAAATTTTGAGCAAATATATTTCTAGTAAATTAGGGATGTAATAATTTTAAGTTTTTGCGCCTAGAAAGCTAACTTAATGTATGCTAATGCTAGATGTTGAAACATTCTTTGTCTTAACTACAATGTGCAGGACAAACTTTTTTTTAGTATAAAACTGGCTTTTGGGATGTTATAATTATGCAAAATTTAGTTGCTGTGTTAATTTTGGATGTTTAATAACTGCATTAAAAAATTTCAAAATGTCTTGGTTTCATTTTAATTTACGATGTCTGTTGATGTATATTCTTCATGAGCCACAAGTTGCAGTTTAGTTAAGTTTCGTAAAGAATAATAATTCCTACGAAATAATAACACTCATTAAGTAGAAATGAGGAATATGTCAAACTCAATGGATTTTTTTGCAAATGGGGTCGGTTGCAATGTTTAATTTCTTTTGTTTTTTTCATTAATATTGTGAAAATCTGTCCCAGGTAATCATATTGAAATGGTATAATTAATTATATGCTCATTGCTGACTGTGACTCAAATTTTCACACGTCAGGAGTTTCCTGTTAGTTGATTCTTAGATGAACAGTTTATGCATTTTATAAATTGGGAAATTCCTTTTAAAGTATGAGAATCAAATGTCAGTCTGCATGTCTTAATCTATGTCTTTATCAAGTATTAAGTTAAATCAAGGTTTAAATGATAATTCTAAATGACTGACATGCACATATAATCTTAATTTCAGAGCCCTTTCTTACTATTCTTTTTCTCACCTAGCTTTCTTTTTTTTTTTTTTCTTTTTTTAAGTTTTTACAGTACTAGTGGCTTGTTTTTTTTCACAGTAGGCTGACAGGAAAGGGGAGTATGAGAGACAGGGAGAGGCATGCAGCAAAGGACCAAAAGCTGGATTTGAACCCAGCTAACCACTGCACAACCTGCACGCCCAAGCTTTCTTTAAAATAGTTTTTTTTTATCCTTCACTTGCTCGCTTTCATTCAACTCAAAAATACTGTATAAATCCCAAAGGGCTGGTTAGCTCAAGTGGTAAGTCATCCATCCTGCAAACAGAATTGGCGGCCTAGTGGTCAGGTGTCTTCAACGTTTTTCCAGGCCAAGGACCCCCAAACTGATAGTGAGATGGAGTGGCGACCCCCTAATTATATATATTGTATGAAACTGTGATATGTCAAACTGTTCCTATAATCACTCTATTACTTTTAGAGTCATGTAATGAAAGTAATTTCTCACTGGGATTATTAAGTATTTCTGATTCCTGGTTGATGGGACAGGTGTTGTGAGTGAAACGGTGCCCAGCTTGAAAGAGCTCCTGTGTGTCGCTGAATGTGTGCATTGATGACTGAAAGACATCTTCTGCCTCCATTTATCTGTTTACTACAGTGTATTGAATTCATTGTGCTTGGAATCCTGAGGTTCTGAGTTTGAGCCCCACTTCCACAGACTGCCTCTCTGGGTCCCTGAGCAAAGAACCTTAACCCCGCACTGCTCCCCGGGCGCCGCACAATGGCAGCCCACTGCTTCCCATGGGGATGAGTTTAAATGCAGAGAGTTAATTTCGTTTCTCTGTACTTGTGACAGTGTAATGAGACAGATGAGGATCAGGGGCACTAGAAAATAAAAAAGTTAACAGATTTTTTTTTATTTTATTTCAGTATAATAAGGGAAAAAGGTCAGAATTCTGACTTTTTTCTCAGAATTCTGACTTTAATCTCAAAATCTTGGATCCACTGGCCCGCTGTCAAACATGTGAAGGAAGGCCAGTAACACATTGGTGGAAAATGACAGAATTAGGCGACTTCTTACGTGCCCGAGGGGTCCCTGGTGATGTTATTTCATTAATGTAAGAGCAGAAGGTCATTAAAACAAGAGAGCTAGTTTAGTCTCTAGACAACAGCTTGATGCTAACATGTTTGTAAACTGTCAGAATCCAGTCAGAATTCTGAGAAAAATCAGAATTCTGACTTCTAATCTGTTAACTTTTTTTTGTGTGGCCCTTATCAGTTTCCGTATAATGAATGGGGGGGGGGGGGGGGGGGGGCAATTATCGTTTTATTTTGAAGGCCAATTGACTTCCGATTGTCTTGGACATTAAAAAAAAGTAAGATTATGTGACGTTAAATTTAGCGCGAGATTTGTTTTCCTCAGAGCCGTTTCTGGTTTGCCTCTTTCCCACACAGCAGAAACATGTCTCGGCATGTTCCGAAGCTGACCTCAACTTCCTACCGGAGTTGTGTGAAAAATAAACAAATACATAAAATCCAACCATATTTCTCTGACAGTCAGTGACAGTAATAATGCCGAGTTTATAGAGTTATGAAGATAACTGATTGTGAACGTTGTAAGAAATGTGCAGCATTTAGCGGTTCTTGTGAATCTGTATAAACCAGTCCGCCATTAGGCTCCTCTTCCACTTGATTCTACCAGAACCGGGTCACACTGGGACTGGGTGTGTTCCGACCGGTACCTCAGGAATTCTATTTGGGTTCAAACATTCAAACTGATCTATGAAAGCAGCTCTTAAAGTAACTGTCAGCTGTCGCGTTTTTTATCGTTTGGGGACAAATGATTGGTTAGCGCTATGTTCTCGCGATATTACCCAACCAATCATGCAGCAGTAAGCGCCAACTCAAATCAAATACTTTCTCCTGAGGAGGAAGAGCGGCGTGTTTTGCTCAGATCCTGGTGGTGAACAGCTGCGCTAAACAACCACTGGAAGGTAAGCGAAGTTTTATCTGCCGCTTTCCAATTTATCTAAAAAACAATGAGTTATAATAATCACATTTTTTTTTTTTTTAGAGTTAATGAGGGCGAATGAGCCGACTGTTAAATTACCGTTTATTTTTATCCCAGCTGTAAATTAGTTATGGTTGTTTCTAACTGACTGAATCACTAAACTGTGTTTAAAAACTGTCAGCATGATGCATCTGCTAAAAAAAAAAAAAAATTAAAAAAGTCACATCTTCTGCGGTTTATTATTAAAATTATGAAGAATTTTGGAGCAGCCTAAAAGGAAGTGGAACGTTTCAACGTTTTTATTAAAATTATCTGTATTAAAGTTAATATCAAATGGACTTTTAGTTTACTTACAGTTTTTACTGTACTTATTCTTATAAAAATATGATTTAAAATCCTAGTCCACATGCGTCTTAATTCACATTATCCTCTAAATTTTCACCTTATGAAATATGAACTATCAAGGGTGTAACTTTGTGATGAAAGTTTATGGAGTCCAACTAGTAAAGAAGAACAAACTATGTTTTCTCAAGCTTCTTGCATTATATTACTAACTTGCATAAACTTAAAATCTGTTGCCATTTTTAGCTGTAAATGCTCCGTATGTGTAACTGATTTTATTTTATTTTTTGGTGGCATCTCTAATTTTTTTAACCAACCCGTCTCCTAACTTTTACTTAAACATCAAAATAACTGCTGGGTAATATTCACTTTGTGCTGCTGTGCGTCTCTCCTCCAACCACATAGCGACTCTGCACCCTCTGTTATCTTTGGCTAAAGTAAATGAGCAAAAAGGGGGGGAAAATGTGAAAATTATCAGTGGGGACATGTCCACACCAGTCCTTCAGAATGTTATGCCTGTGGTTTATATTAATTATTGGCTGCATCTAGAAATATCAAAGATATTTTCAATTCAAATATAGATATTAAATAATACAATATAACTTAAATGATATCAGTTCAGTTTATTCTGTCCAATAAGCTGCCTGTAGTGTCTTTAAATGTCCAGCAGGTGTCAGTATTCTGACAGAATCCATGCAGTATCAATACAGTTTGGCTTCAAGACGCCTCATTAACCCATCATTACTGTGAATCCATCTATACCGATATGATTTTACCTTTATCCTTATTAAGGTTATTGTTTAATTCTTCTGTGATTGTGTTTTTTAGGCCACATAATGGAACCTGTTACGATTTCACGGCGAAACCAATCCAGTAAGAAAGTAAGTTTGGATTAAATCATTACTTAAAACGTTAAAAGAAGCTACACCGAGTTCCCAACTGTCATTTCACTTTGGTTTGAACTATTTTTATTTATCAGGGAAACAAGGAGAACACTGAGCCTCCAACTGGAGCCAAGTCATTCATTAAAACGGGCAAATCATCAGTTGTGCCATTCCAGCCCAGAGGCAACAAGAAAGAGGATGCATTGAATCAGAATGATCTTCTCAAAGGAAAGAGTAAACCGATGGATAGGAAGGCAGCGTCTGCAGTGGTTCCAACTAAAGCACAAACACTCAGACC